GGTGGTCACTCTACGATACCACTTGGGGTCAGTAATGGCTAGATGGTCGTTCTAGATGGTAAAGCTGAGGGTGCAATGTCTTAGTGGTAGTTTGACCTTCTGTTAGGTCATAGACCAACCACGGTGTTCGTGCACAGAACAGATAGCTTGGTGATTGGGTTCGATTCCCTTCTCTGATGGGCCCTGGTTGGTGATTCCTGGTGGTTGATACCCACCATAAGGGATGATCCTGGGTAACACCTACAAGCTTACTGTCCAGGTGGTCACTACAAAGTATACCACTTGGGGATTACAACTGTACTATCGGTGGTGGGTAATCGCAGGCTGTAGTGGCCTTTGAGTGAGACTTGTTACCTAATATGGTGGTATGGAAGGGGTCTAGATGTTTGAAGGTTATCTGACGAAAGTCCTCCGTGAAAGTAGTAGTGGTGAGGGGTTATAATAGTAGCCATTACAGTATCATGCAACGGATTAAAGGACGAGTAGGGTGGTGTTCAGCAGATTCGAAGGCCTTCGGGTCCCTGGGATATGTCCTTGCGTTTCGGTTGTGGTGTTGAATTGTCCCTGTTAAAAGGTGGCGGGGATGGTTACATAATGGCTTAGTGAGGATGATGCAATGAACGACCTACCTCCATAGCCTTCAATAGAGGGTGCGGAAAGTAGTGGCCACTAAACTTACAAAACACTTGTAAAATAATCACCAAATATATAAAAGATAAAGTCATAAGACTGTTTGCTTATAATCACCAAATATGGACTGTCCCAAATGTGTGATTATAAAGAGAGTTGACTGTATATCAAAAATTTATATTGAAGTTCAAAATTTTTAATTTTTATGTTTAGCATTTTCAAAGAGCCGATGTTTAACAGTTAATTACTGCAAGTGAGAACTATATACTGTAAAAGTTTCGTGGCTTTTAGTGTAATATTGGCTTTCTGAGCTAGCTCTCTAATTAAGTTTAATGAATAGCTTCTTTGAAAAATATCACTTTTTATTAATTTTATATAATTTTTATATACTTATTACATCATCTGTTTAGAAACTACAAATTTATAAAGTAACAGATGTTTTACTTCATAAAAATAGCATTTTTTTCAAGTGCTTTTTCAATGAAAAGTATCTTGTTTTTTAAGTTAAATATGATGATAGATACCAATTTTTGTTTTCTTTTATAAGCTGTTAATACTCCAAATGCCCGAACTAACCACAATAATTCTGATACTGTGAATATTTTTGCAAATGATTCCTCTGCTCCCTCAAGCTGCGTCCATATACGGAGTTGTTCCAGAGCATGAATAGGGTTGGTTGGCAAGTTCACTTTCTTTATAATCATAGGTTTTTTATTTTCATTTAAAGCTGTAGTAGAATGATTATGATTCATCACCTTTAGACTTTTTCATAAACTTGCTGTTCCTTTTTTTGGAATATAGTTATTAACACTCCTCCAAGTTTTTTGACGGCTTTTCATATAAATTAAAACACATCTTTCATAAATAAATTTGCAGTCCTCATTTTCTAATTCAGAATTATTTTCTCCATTTGAAGATTTCAAAATTTGAATAAATGTTTGATTCAAATGTAGGTTGGTTAGAAAACTGTTTTCCACATAACGCAAAATATTTGATCCTAATTCGTTATGTTTTTCAAATAATTCGATCACTAAAGATTCTAAACGATACATAAACTGAACAAATTCAGATCTGGATATAATAATAGTAGTTTGTAATTTTGTTTCTAATACATCATACTCAACTTTTTCAGTGCAGAGAGATCTAAGTAAAATGCATATAACTGAAAATTTTGGATGTGAATTCATTAAATAATCTCTTTTAATCAACTTAAAGAGCATCCAACCGACGATATAAGAAAATTTAGAAGCTTCTACCTGATTCAAGGTAATAATAGTTTTAGGAATCAAGGTAGGATCTGCTTGCTCTTGTATATTTTTGTTTTTACAATAATCTCCTCTAATTGTTTCTTCTAAAACTTTATTAATAAGAAAATAAGCAACTAGTCTTTTTGTCATAAGTGAACTTTGAGAATGAGGAATTATGATCTTCTGAAACTGCTGAAACCAAATTCCAGAATAGAGATAATTATTCAAGCAAGTTTCTAGATAAGAAATCCACATAGTTGTCCAAAGATTTCCCTTTTGTTTAGGCATTGATTTTAAAATAATGTTTTTAATATCATTCTTCCATCTTTCCAGCAAGAAAATAATTTCATTATTATAGATCAACAAATTAAATAGCTGCTGATGTTCTACTTGAAAAAGTAAAATTCTTTGATTTTACTGATTAATTTCAGTATTAAAAAATAACGTTAGAATTTCAATTTTTCCCATAAATAAATCATCCATTAAAAGACCTTTGAATATACGTTGTATAAAGGAAGACATATTGGATAAATGCTTAGCATGGTCTAATAGGTTAGAATAAATATCATTATTCTTTGTTGATTTTTTCCTATAATCACTATTTTTTTAAAAAAAATTTTATTATACATTTTCAGGTACAAATTAATTAACATAATAAGTTAATAACTTATTATCAAGAAAGATAATCCAAATCCATTTTGGTATGATTTGATGTTCTATAATTTACGCTTTTCATTTTGGCAGTTACTAGAGAAGTAATCTGAAATTTATTTAATGCATACCCATATCCCTTTAGTGTTTGAATGGAAGAATCTCCACCAAGTTGTCAAATTGTGCCAAATAATCCTTTCAACATATCTTGTGATACTCTGCGAGGTTCAATAGTTACATCTGGATATAAAGTAAAAATATTTTTTACCATATCAAGAAAACCTTGAATAGACAAGAGTAAATCAAATTGATACTGTGGTGAGATCCAGTTCATTGTGCTGGTTTTTTGATTATCCCTAATTACAAACTAATCCTGAATTTCTTTTAAAATTTGAAGACGAGAATCAGCAAGATTTTCCAAAGATTTCTTGCTATGAAATATTTGCCGATAAAGGTATGAATAATTTATAAATTCCTTAATAAATAAAATTTGTTAATATTTATAATTTTATTTACTAACATTTTCACAATTAATTACCCTTGTTCCTGCAGAGATTTCCTTTAACTCATCAATCATTTCCATGGCATTCTCAACATCTTTTGACAAAGTTTGCTCAGCAAGATCAACACGCATTTTACTTTATGATGTAAGCCATATGTGACATTTAGTAAGTCTTAAAATTTTTGCTGTTTTATTTTGGCAACTATAATCATAGACATCCTGAACATGACGCCAACTAACTTCTTTTCCATCTATCATAATTTCTTTAATATTTCGGCCTTTACCTTCTCCAATGTGACTTTTTGAAAGATTATTTCAAAGCTTCTTAAAAACATGTGTAAGATCACTAATAAAATATTATGGTGTGCTAGTAATTGGATTAATCGTTTTGTGATTCATCCAGTGTATTTGAGAATTATAAGGTAATCTAATATACAAATTTAGAGATGTGATAGCTACCTTCCACTCCTTTTTAATGGATAAAATTGTAACAAAAAATGTCTGTGATTTATCAATATTTGTAATAATTGCCAAATGCCATTTATTATCTTCTGGATTCTTAAATTCACAAGAATCATTAATTTTCCAATCCAATTTATTAGGCATTGGTTGTCTTAATAAGTTATGATTAACTTAAAATTTATCAGGAAAAAATGGATCCAGTAAACGTACTGTAAATTTGCTATGATCAAGGTTCGTTGCCATAATTTTTGCTTTTTCATAATTGTTTTTTCCAATATTAACTTTAACAATATCTTCTAAACACCAGAAAGAAGTCCATCAGTCAAAACTTTTAATGTGATTCCTATTTCTTCAGCTCCATCACAAATAGATTCACAAGTATGTATACCAAGACATTCAAGATTAGCCGCAAGTTGAAAAAGTATTTTATTGATTTCATGGGCAGTAAGAGTATTAATTCCATAATATGCTACAGGATATGCAAATTTACAAGTAGCTGAATGCACAGGTCAAGAAACGATCTATCTCACACATATCAGGTACCTATATATCGGTGACTAATTAGGTACATATCGGGTATTTTTACATATTAACAACATATCGGGTACCCGATTTGTCACATAATGCGCAAATTTCAAATATGGTTAAAAAAAAAATGTAAATTACCATGTGTCCGATATCCAAACTATTAGTTACCGATCCGTTATCTAATATATATCGGTCACCGATATTTGTACGATCTTTAAAAAAATTTGTGTGTTTATTTAATATTATTATAGTATAGAAAACAACTACTGATTTCTGCCTATTTGGTATTGGCTTTGTATGCTTTGTACTTTGTAAAAATGTAATACAGTGTACGAAAAAAGATAATTGCTATGGAATGCTTGATTCAACTTCATATGGAGTTTTTCCAAATTATGAATACTTATAAATAGATGATGTTTATTTACTTTTTTAGGAAATATTGAATGATAAAATTATTATATAAGCAAGCCAACTCTCAGTGATCATAGTAATACAAGAGTGCGGCCAGAGAATATCTAAACTTCAAACCCGTTATTAAAAGCATATACAAATTATTCAAATTACCACGATTTTCTGAAATCCACTTATTGTAATTAAATTTCTCATGGCAAAAAAATAAATACGTTTCCTTTTTTTTCTTTGTAAACTATTACACTGAATTTGCAAAATGGCGTATAAGGTGTATTGTACTATTACCATATTAGGAATCTTTCCATATAGCCAGGATACCTGAAAAAAAATAAATTTTAAGGAGATATTTTTTTTACCCAAATCGTAATAAAATTGTAATACAAACTAATTCCATATAAATGACAGATTTTATTTCTCCAACATCTTTAGTTCGATCGTTACTGATAAGGGTGATTATTGGTATCTTTGATTCTAGCGATCACTTCTGATAGAAGTTTGATAACCGGAGGCAATCGATTCAGTCATATTGAATTTGGATCCTATCTTTCAATTTAATTAATCTTTAAAGAAATACGTAAGCCAAAATGCCTGCGCTGATCCCTGTCCTTTTGGAGTTTATAGGGTGACGATGAAGATTGGCTATTGCCCAAGTATACTTTTTATTGATTAATTTCTTTGAGAGACGTTTTCGTCGATGTGCTTTGTATGATAACAATGTTGCCTCTATAATTCCGGGCTGGATTAGAGGAAAAAATCCTGATTGCACCTCACCTATTTTGTCGTCAGGCACAGTCTGAAACTTACATTTGTAAACTTTTATTTCTATACCAACTGCATGGGTTTAGGGTATATTTTATTCCCTAACCCTTAGACCTACTTGTTAGGTTAGATAGGTTGCATTGCACTCTGTAGCCTACCTTTTTAATGAGTTTTATGGCCATGTTTGCTCATTTAAAAATGAATTAAACAGGTTGCCATATCATTAAACACATCGCAGCCATTTGGTAATGAAGCTATAATTGTCTAATAAGGGTTCGCCCTGTCTGGCAATTTATGGTGGATTCAAATGGATCAAATTACAAACAATAATAATTTAGTCAAATGAGAATTCCAGGAAGGAACGAGGATGCTTTGTCTAATTGAAAATATTTTTTTTATTTTATTTTATTTTTTATATTTTTATTTTATTTTATTTTATTTTTTTATTTTTTATTTTTCTATTTGAGATTATTCATCGTATCCTATGTTTATTCATATCTGGTATTTTCGAATATACTTATCCTTATTATCATAGCGAGTTTTCTTAAAGCGTACCTGTGGCACCTCATCTGACTTGGGAAGTGTCGCTGAATCTAAAGCAAGGTACCCGGTTAATCCTCAACTTTGGGTTATGAGTTATGATTTAAGCATATAGTAATTTAATTTGACTTACATACCAAAAACAAAAATTTGTGTATATTTTCATTTTAATTTTTTTGAAAAAATAATATTATCGTATTTAGCTTATTAATCTAATTTATCGTATGTTAATATAGAAAATTTTATTAATCAGTTTTTGATATCTTATTAAATACCTTATCCGTAATTAAATTGTTACTGTAATAAAGTAATCAATACCGTAACTTGTTTATTAATAAAAATAAACTGTAATCTATAGCTTTATCAAACCATGATATTTTTAATTTAATCAATCAATTTTTAAAAAAATTAAATGAAAATGTTTGAATTCTGATTTTTATTAAAGTCTGATTAGTATTTTTGACGATAAACCTATTTAGGCAAAAGTGTAATAATTGTAAAATTTATTTTTTTGATTTTTTATTTTTTGATTTAGATTTATTTTTCTTTTTTTTCCTTTTGTTGTTATTTTTGTTATTTACGACGTTATTATCAACATCATCATCGGCACCATTGTTGTCTTGAATAATGCTTTCATCAGTATCATAATCATAAACCGGGATATTTTTGGTTAAACGGTTGAATTTTTCAAGTGCTTCTCTATTCAAACACCAGCTTGGTGCGCCGGCAGGTGGCACACTAACTGTTTCTGTTTTGTCTAGAACTCTTTTACATTTTAAGTTTGGTGGTTTTTTCCTTAATAACTCTACCGTTGGATCAATACGATTATGTAATAAACGTTGAAGCTTAAATAAAGAAATTAAACTATAAATTAGTGTTTATACTTTGATAAAAAATAATAAAATATACATACAGCAGGAGATCTCCACCATCTTTCATAAATATATATCGAATTTTTTTTTGTGACTACTTCTTCTTCATCATTTTCATCATCTTCATCATCTTCGTCGGTTTCCTCCCATTCTTCGGAATGGTAGCCTGAATCTTTTAAAATTTGAACTAGATCCTTTTCAGGATATCGGCAAATGTACTTATCTTTGTTTTGTATTAGGTAATTGGCCGCGTTTGTTCTTCTTTTTTTTTTCTAACAATGTTAATTATAAAGCACAATATAATTAATTTAAAAAAAAAACTAAATTTAATAGCTTCTGTTAATTAAATAATTTACATCCTGCATCCTTGAATTCTTCATTGCTCTTCTTTTGTTACGTTTTATTTGGGCTTCCCCTTGCTTTCTAATATTACTAACGTGATGGCGAGATCGCCAACGTCCATATAACATCTTAAATAAATCACTATTTGAGACTTTATATTTTTTATTTACAAGTTTGTAAAGTGGTGGAAGCAACTTGGTGACTATGTTATCTTTTTACTCAGCCCATGTGAGCTCATAGTTAATACTGTATACGTCTTTTAGCTAAAAGTCAATCCAAATAAACACTTCTTTCTGTAAAATAATAGATAAATGTAAATAGAATAAAAGCAGAAATAATATATAAAATAATCAAATACTTGCTTTTATCGTGTTATAAGAACTTTTAGAAAAGGAAGAAGAAGAAGAAGAGGAGGAGGAGGAGGAGGAGGAGGATGATGATGATGATTCATCACTAGATGATACATTATCACCATTCATTGTTACGAAGTATAAAATCTTTTTGTTATTTTGTAAAATAAAAAAATCCCATATAAAGTAGAGATTTCAGAACGCGAGAAAAGTTGATTGTGTGCAAATTTATAATGATTTCGGAGATTTCAGGATGCAGATCAAGGCTCAGAGGTAGCAACGCGTTTGCGCAATTCTCACCAGGTGAAAGTAACGTGCTCATAAAATTCTTGTGCAATTCTTTTGTATGATAAGGATTATTAAAAGCTCATTTCTGAACGTCTTGATTACTAACTATTAAAAGTGATAGAATAAAAAATATATTTTATACATTTTAATAAAAATGAGTAATAAAAAATGTAACTCTATATCTGAATTAATAAAGAGTAATAAAAAACGTAAAGTTGAAACCTCTGAAACCTTTGTGGCTGATTTAATAAAGCCCAAAAAAAAGTATTTGTATATTTGCAATTGTGCTCATTGCAAAGGTGCAGAAGTTGATTCTCGCACTCAAGAGAAACATACGTATAATGATAGTTTGTGGGAATCGAGATCAAAAGATTCTAGAAAAAATCAGGAAAATACCATCATGATAAGAAAGAAAAAAACATCATCTGTTAATAATACATATATAAATACAGAAATAAAATTGAACATATCAAAAAAGCGAGAAAGAAATAATTACTCCGGTACATCTAGTCCAGATCAGGACTCTTCCCATCCTGGTCCTTCTTTCCAATATATTGAAGAAAATATAACATTATTTTCATCAAAACCTTCATGTTTTCGTATTCCAGCACCTACAATTGATGAAAATAATGATGAAATCAATTATTTTGGTGAGAATTATAATGTAGATAATATAAATGAGGGGGAAGAGAATGATGATGTAAATAATATGGATGAGGAAGAGAATGATGATGTGGATGAGGGAGAGGAGAATAATGATGCAAATAATATGGATGGGGAAGAGAATGATGATGTGAATGAAGGAGAGGAGAATGATGATGTAGATAATATATATGGATGAGGAAGAGAATGATGATGTGGATAGCATAGCAGACATCCTCATTTTATCACAATTTTGACGATCATTTGTCGATCACTTATTCAATCTTATCATATAGAATAATACCGTTATTTATAAATTTTGCGTATGCGTAATAATACATGCTCAAATTTTGCAAATAAACTTACTTTTAATACACAAATTTGTGTATTATTATTTAACATTTTTTAGATTTAAATTTATATTAAATTAATGTAAATTTGAGATAAATTTAAATTTAAGCAAAAAAATAATTAGTAGCGTATATTTATTAAAATTTATGCATTTATAATATTGATTTAATTTTGTGACTCAAGCTTTGTGGCATTTATTTAATTACGTAAATAAATTTTGTGGCATTAAATCATTAAAGTTCATGATATTTATTTATTAAATTTTATAATATTATACACTAAATTCTCTACTGATAAAACTTCTGCATTATGGGTTATATAATTGCATTATTTTTGTCATAAATTATACATAATATAAGAAGTAATTTTACAAAGTTTTAAGTTTCTGCCATGAATATTCGGCTTTTGCCATCAATTTTAAGTTGATGATTCCAAATAATCACATATCAATAATCTATAATGTAAAAATTAAAAAATCATGCAAATCGTCATATAATTCAAAGCTGTATAACAACATGACGCTTTTCATTTTGTCTAGTTATTTATTTCATCATATTTTTTTCAAAAATTAGTTTTTTTAATAAAATACAAATATATGATCGGCAAATGATTGGCAAGGTGATATAAGGATGTCCGCTATGCTGATATGGATGAAGGAGAGAAGAATGATGATGTAGAAGATTTTTTCGCATCTCCTAAGATTGACAATGACAATGAAGAAGCATTTATAGTGGAAAGCTTAAGTAATTCTATTAATACTGAGATTATAATATGGCTATTTAAATTTCAACAAAGATTTCGATTGCCTAATATTGCACTTGAATCCTTAATAAAATTTTTTCATATAATTCTTATGCGCTTTGATAAGTTGCAATTTGAAAATTTTCCTACCTCATTATATATGGCAAAAATATGGTTAAACATTTTTCAACCGAAAATGCAATTAGCTGCATGTACCGATTGCCATAAATTGCATAATNCAATTAGCTGCATGTACCGATTGCCATAAATTGCATAATGTTAAAGATATTATTGCATATAAGGAAGAAGGAAAAGTTGCTATAATGAATTGCCCGTATAAAGAGTATCCAAATAATCCAATATCAAGTCGTAATCACCAATGCAATAATTCACTTTCCATTCTCAAAAAAAATAAAAATGCAACAATTGCGGTACCTCGCATGCTTTATCCTAAGCCAAACATTCATCAGCAATTGAGTATTTTATATCAACGACCAGATTTTGAGAACATGTTAAAATTATCAGGGATTCAAAAAAATGAAAATAATATCTATTCAGATATTTACAATGGTAAGGTATGGAAAAATTTTCCATTTGATGGTAGTACCTTTTTTACAACAGAGACTGCCACAACTCATCTAGGTCTTCTCCTTAATCTTGATTGGTTCCAACCATTCTCCTACACGCAGCATAGTACTAGCGCTATTTATGTGTCTATTTGCAATCTTCCAAGGTCAGAAAGGAATAAGCCCGAAAATATTATATATTTGGGTTTCTTACCAGGACCAAAAGAGGCAGGGTTGGAACGCATTAATCATTATCTA